TTTTTTTTTTTTTTTTTTTTTTTTTTTTTTTTTTTTTTTTTTTTTTTTTTTTTTTTTTTTTTTTTTTTTTTTTTTTTTTCTTATAGGTGAGCATGCAAAGGCACCAGAGATTATGATTGATCCTTCCTTAGTGCAGCAAGCAGAGAGAGAATTACAAGAGGCAGTAAATACAGCAATAGAGGACGATGATGACGACCTGTAATTGCTGCTGCTGCTGCAGCAGCAGCAGCAGCAACAGCAGCAAAGACTGCAGCAGCAGGGGCTGCTGCAGAAGAATATGCTGTTGTTGGTGCTGCTGCTGATGATACAGCGGCTGTTGCACCTGTTGCTACAAGCAAGCTGCAGTGCAGCTGGAGTGCAGCAGCTGGAGTGCAGCAGGAGCAGCAGCAGCAGCTGGAGCTGCTGCTGTTGTTCTTGCTGCTGCTGCTGCAGTGGCGCATGCAGCAGGCCCCTGAGCAGCAAACGGCGGGACTGCTTCTCACTGACTGTTAACAAAGAAACTCCTTATCTGTCTTTCTTTCCCCTCTACTACCTGCACATACACCGTGCAATGCTGCAGCAGCTGCAGCAGCAGCAGTTGCAGCAGCTACAGCAGCAGCAGCCTTTATTGAGGTGTATGTGTATGGGTATAGAGCTTGCAACAGACGAACGCATGCGGCATGCGCGGTGACCGTTGATGCAGCAATTTGCTGCTGTTTGCATGCAGCATTGCAGCAACAGCAGCAACAGCAGCAGGCGCAACAGATGCATGCATGCAGGGGAAAGAGGGTATAAAAGGAGTTATCTACTTAAGGTGTCTAGGCATCTTCTTATAAACCCTATATTACCATTAGCTGCTGTCTGCATCTATAGCAGCTGCAGCTGCAGCAGCAGCAGCAGCTTGCTGCGGGTGCCGTTGCTGCCTGTGGGGCCGCTGCTGCTACTGCTGCTGCTGCTCCCCGCTGTTGTATGTTTCTCTGTCTTGTGTCGCTTTTATCTAATTGATGTTCTTCTCCCTACACGCAAAACATTTTGCATGCGCATGCATGCATGCATGCAGTGTATGAAGAAGTACATAAAGGAGGGTTTATGGTTTATGGGGTTAAGAGGAGTACATAATAAGGGTTTAGGGTTTAGGGTTCGCAAGACGAACAAGAGAGGGTTTGGGCTCTATAGACACTCTGTAGTTAGTGCTTAGACCTCATAGGGTTTAGGGTTAGGGTTTAGCACACTTAGTGAAGGGTTTAGGGTTTGCGCCGTTCGTACGCCGCGCGGATAAAGGGTTGGCGCCTCCGTATGGAGGGCTCTTTAGGGTTTAGGGTTTTGAGCTATTGGGGTTTAGAAAACAGGGGCTACATTGACTAGGGCATAAATATATATATATATATATATATATTGTGTGTTGTTAATGTAGACTGTTGTTGCTTCTGATGAGATGGGCAACGCCAGGCAGGCTGTTTCTTTCTTTTATTTTATTTTATTCATTAATTAAATAATAATAAAAATATAAAAATAAATTTATATAAAAGTGCAAACAAAAGCGATTAAACAGCAGTGAGGCGGTCGGATGCTGCTGCTGCCTTGTCTGCACCGCAGAAAGCACAGCTGGAGGCAGGCAGTCCTGCAAAGAGAAAAGTTGGGAATTAATGAATAACTTTTTTTAATTATTTGCAAAAGAAGAAATTATAATTTTATTGGCAAAAAAGAGCAGTTAGAGCTGTTGATTCTGCAGCAACAACGGCGGCGGCAATCTAGTGGCTTGAACGACCATTGGACAGCAGCCTGTGTTGCTGATGTTTTGTGTTGCATGCGTGCATTTTCTTCCTTTATTATATTGAATTAAATCATATTATATACTTAAATTGTCTTTTTTGCCGCAAGATGATAGTGCATATAACCCCTGGGGGCCCTCAGATGGTTAGCCAAGCCGCAGCAACAGGTAGTACCTGCTGGGGCCCCACAGCAGGAGAAGCGACAGCAGCAGACAGCAGTTGTGAGAGGAATAATTCGTCATGGAGCAGCAGCAGGATTCACTGAAGCAGAAGCAGCAGCTGCAGCAGCAACAGGAGCAGCAGCAGCAACAGGAGCAGCAGCAGCCGCAGCAACAGCAACAACAACCGGTGGCGCACACAGACACAGCTCGACTCCTGGAGCAGCGACAAGGAGAGATTTTGGTGCTGCAGCAGCAGCTGAAGGAGCAGCAAGTTATTAGGGAGCGTCATGAGCATCAGTTGGTGCTGCATCAGCAGCAGCAGGAGCAGCTGGACGAATACTGCAAGCTGCTGCAACTGCCCTCACCCTCTCTTGAACTGCTGCAGCAGATGCAGCAGAGGGCACAAAAGCAGCAGGATGAAAACGAGCAGATGCTAGAGCAGGAACAGCGACAGCAGCAGCAGCAACAGCAGGAGCAGCACCAGGGGCAACAGGAGCAACAGGAGCAGCAGCAGCATGGGCAACAGGATCCGCAGCAGCAACTGGGAAAGTTACTGAACCTGCAGCTGCCCAGCACTCAGCAGCAGCAGCAGCAGGAGGATTCGTCGTCAAGTGTCTTGGATGAGCCACCTCAACTGCAGCAGCAGCACCAAGGAGTGCAGCAAGAGCAGCAGCAGCAACAGCAGCAGCAGCAGCAGCAGTTCATTGCTGCACGCTGTCGATCATGCGGCTGCTTAATTCGTCGTTTAATCTGCTCTTGCTGCTGCAGTGCAGCGCTGCAGCAGCGAAAGTGGCGTCTGCCTCTGCTGCAGCAACAGCAGCAGCAGCTGCAGCAGCAGCTGCAGCAGCAGCTCGAGTCGCTGCTGCAGCAACAGTTACACCATAGGAAGCTTTCTAAGAGTCAAGACATGCTTGGAGCAGCAGATGATGAGCCCCAGGAGAAGGAGCAGCAGCTGCTGCACGTGCAGCAGCAGCTGCTGCTGCAGCAGAAGCAGCAGCGAGTGCAGCAGCTGCGGCAGCTGCGGCAGCTAAAAGAGAGACAGCTGGAAGAAGGTTTGTTGCTGCATGCATAAATGCATGCAAGTGGTACCCTCTCCAAACCCTAAACCCTAAACCCTAAACCCGAATTCCCAAACCCTAAACCCTAAACCCTAAATCCCAAACCCTAAACCCTAAAACCCCATCAGCTGCATACGTTGCCAGTGCCTACTCTAGTATAGTCGTGTTGGGTATGACCCCTGCTGCTGCTGCTGCTGCTGCTGTTGCTGCTGTTGCTGCAGCCAACGGAAGATTAAGAAGGGAAAGCAGGCTGCAGATACACCTCAGACCATTGTTGCTGCTGCTGCTGCTACAGTTGTTGCTGATGCTGCTGCTGCTGCTGTGTGCTTCAGCCACGGACACACACGCCTGTTTGCTGCTGCTGCGTCGGCAGCAGCAGCAGAGTCTCTATAGACTTCTTGAGGCAGCAAGCGAATTGGAGAAGAAGGGATACATCAGCAGCAGCAGCAGCAGTAGCTGCTGCTGCAGCAGCACGCTGCAGCAGTTCTGCAGCGCATGGAACTGCGGTCTACCGTCAGCAAGAAACACGGGCCGTGGCACTGCAGCAGCAGCAACAGCAGCAACAACAGCAGCAACAACAGCAGCAGCTACAGCAGCACCAAGAAGGGGACACACGGGAGCTGTAGGAACAGCAGCAACATCAGCAGCAGCAACAGCAACAGCAACATCTGCTGTTGTTGCTGCAGCATCGGTAGTCTCTGCCCGTCTTGCTGCTGCTGGTGATCCCTGGAGTTCTTCGCCATCGGTTGCAGCAGCAGCACGAGCAGCAGCTGTTGCTGCTGCTGCAGCAGCAACAGCAACAACAGCAACAGCAGCGGCAGAGACAACAGAAGCAGCAGAAACACCAACAACATCAACAACAACAGCAGCAACAACAGCAGCAAGCACTAGCAGCAACAGCTACACGACCACAAAACAGCTGCAACAACTGGGCTGCTGCACCGGCTGCTGCACCGGCTGCTGCACCGGCTGCTGCACCTGCTGCACCTGCTGCAGCAAACAGGGAAATGATGCCAACAACAGCGGCAGCAGCACCATCAGCAGCAGCAGCTGCTGCTGCATCAGCTCCTTCTACAACAACTAAAAGGCCCTCGTGGGATATGCAGCAGGGGGAAAGCAGACCTCAAGACACCAGCAGCAGCAGCAGCACCAGCAGCAGCAGCAGCAGCCGTGAATGGGGGATCTACGGCGCTGCTGACACGATCAGCAGCAACATTGCTGCTGATGCAGCTGATTTGGGTGTCTCGTGTGCAGCGCAAGCA